CCAGTTCGGAACTTAGGAATTCAAATGTTAGCAAAACCAACCTTTCGAAACACAACTCGTTACGGAATACCAGGAAGTTGACCCCCTTTGTGACAGTATATTTTAAAATTAACATTTTTCAAAGATTGTACTCTGTTATAGTAATAATAGAGGATTAGGATAATTATAGAACTACTTATGTCAAAAATAGATAAAATTTATTTAAAAGAATCATATGAGTTGGAAAATTTGGTGTATACCCAAATGGTATATACTCCATAAAATGACCAAGTCTTTAAGGTCATTTAAAAAATATAGGAGATGAACGCACTCCTGGTTTTGACAGAGCGCCTGCGCTTCAGCCCGATCAGCCGACGTTTGTCCGAATGACAAAACGATAAGAGACAAAACTGATAACTGATAACCTCTAAAAACGTTCTTTCAACTTGGCTAAGGGTTAGTATTAAAATTAATTTAATTATCTCGTTTAACGTAAATAAGTTATATATATATATATATATATCTGATTCTCAGATGGATGAAGATGAGGACGATATTGTTAAGATGCGACTTGAAAATACGCATCTAAAAGGCGAACTAAAGAATGCACAGCTACAGAAAGAGTTGGAACTCGAGAAGATAAAGGGCAAAATGGAGCTCAAAATAAAACGGTTAGAGTGGGAACTCGAACAGATAAAGCTCAAAAAAGAGTTGGAACTCCAACAGTTAAAGGGTAAAATGGAGCTCGAAAAAGAGTTGGAACTCCAACAGTTAAGAAGCGATATTAGAGCTAACCAAATAAAATTTAAAGCGGAAATTGAAAGTTTGACCAATGATCATGTAAGTTTATAAGTTATGTTATTGATTGTTGTTGATTAATTGATGTTATCTTTAAGGCCCGTGAAAACTGGAATTATATCAAGAAACTTCAGAAATTAGATCTAAGAGTTTTTATCAACAAATTTGAATCCGTACATTGCCCAGGAGAAGAGTACAGAAATACAAGATTTTGGAAATATGTAGAAAAGAAGAAAGACCTTTTATATCTATGGGGTTTTACCCCCATTGAATTCATGAGAGTATTCGATGATTTCTATGATTTTATAAATAAATCGGCACATCCTGTATTTGAAATAGGACAAGAGGTAGTGATCCCAGAGAACTTTTTAAATAATTGTCAACTAAGAGTATTGGGTTTTCTTTGGGAGAAATATCCTCTTCCTCTCAAACTATTCAAATTGAAAACAAAAGACTCAAGTGTAAAAACCCTTAACGATTTGAGAAAAAGAGAAAATAGAAAAAGAAAATTAGAATGAACTAACTATTAAGATAATGTGAGTGGTTTATTAATATTTTTCAAAAAATAAAATTCAAGTACAAAACTAGAAAGGTAATTTATTTAATATTTTTTTCCATTTGCATAATATATATATATATATATGTGTTCCCTACCAATAATAATGTCAATATGTTCAGTTTATTTATAAATAAAAAAAACTAGTCTAAACTGCTGGCCATTACTCCCGTCAAGAGACATAATAATGTATAATAAACAATTCATTACCTAGTAACAATAAAAAAGGATTATTAATTAACTATGAAAAGGATTAATATCCAAACGGTAGTGTATCAAAGTTTGCTAGAATAACTCTCTTGTCATAAACAAAACCAAATTCTTTTGTTTCTATTTTATTTAAAAGTTCTTTAGTTTTAGAATCTCTGGTAATTCGATTATATTGTGTACTGATTTTTTTGTCTTTGTATTCTAAAATATTATTCATGCTATCGGAATTAATCTTTTCGGACGTTTCATAATTTAACGTAAATCCTTTTATTCTACAAACAACTTTACCTGTATTAATCTTATAACAATAACTTTTTGGACCTGTTGATATCCAGTGTATTATCCATGCGCCTTTACCTAATTCGTCTGTCCAATCTCCCAATAGTCAGCCTGTTTTAACAGTGTTTTTTCCATCATCTATATATACAATACTATCTGTATCATAATATGCTACGCTTTTTCCTAATTTATCTAGCATTTCGTATAATCTTAGTCTTGCGTTTGCAGTTGTAAAAGCAGCTATAAATATATTGGTATTGAAATCATTTTCTATATAACAATCTTTTAACTTATAATCAATTTGTAACATATTTTCATTTATATCGTTTATACGTATATTATCAAGTTTCCCATCTAATAAAATTTCATAAAACCTTTTAACATCTGTAACATATTCTGTTGCACCCATATTTTGTCTTTGCCCAAATTTACCCCATAAGGAATTTAAGCATATTTTCGCAACAGCTCTCTTTCCAGGATTATTTTCTATTTTACCCAATTCGATACCTAGAATTTCTTTTATGGCTTTTCTATATTCTTCTTCTGATTCAAAATCATCCTGCCAAGGACTTGTTTCTAGTTTAATTTTCATAAACGCTTTCACATATCCTTTAAATAAATATGATGTTTTTTTGTAAAAATGCCAAACTTCATCAATAGTTATTATTTTATAACCCTTTTCAATTGCTTTTTTTACTTCGTTGGTACACCAGGTCACTTTTCTAATAATTCAAATACTCATAACTCAATTTTTCCAAATGAAATACCCCAATTTTTATTTTACTAAATAGAAGAAAATTTAATTGTGCTTTGATCTATATAAACATTCCCTATACCTAAATTTAATAATTTTCAAGTTATGAACTTTTTGTTAAGACTACAGAAAATTTATTACTAGCCACACCCGGGTTTCACATAGTTTGCTATGGAAATCAAAAATGTCAAAATTTTCTCTAAACAAACGTCAACAGTAAATTACTATTTGATAAATAGTGCCAAAATATGAAGAATCAAACTTAATTATTATTTAAGTGAGAAAAATTTATTTTTGTTTAATGAACGACATCATAATTTTGTTACACTCTCCATAAATACAAAATAAATTAATAAAATTTAAGTTTGAGTAGCTTTGACTCTATATATTTTAAATTCTCTTCCATTTAGTAAAATAAAAATTGGGGTATTTCATTTGGAAAAATTGAGTTAAGGGTATTTGAATTATGACAAAAGTAGCCTTAAAATTTTAGGGTTTGTTAATTTTTTTCCAAAACTTGAAAACACCAGAAGAAGATCTAAACTTTCTCTTTCAAACGCCAAAAAAACGAATTCAAAATCTTAAAAAATGGCAGAGTTACCGATGTTTAAAGTGGAAGGTGCAGATCCAAAAAATTTTGGAAAACTCTAATTATTTCAAAAACGGCTAAATTTAGGTATAGGGAAAGCTGATGAAAACTCCTTTAAAATAACTCAATTAATCCAAAAACGCAATAAAAAATATAGCTTTTCATTTCAAATAAGAAAGTTGAGACCGACTTCCGGTATAACCGGAAGTGCCGCCATCTTGAAAATATTTTCATTTAAAAGGACTTAATGGTTAATGGCTATGTACCAATTTTCAAATAAATACGATTATTCCAACTCCCAATACTTTTAAAGTGGGGTTTAGACGACACACCCTGTATATGTAAGAATTTCAGTCGGGGTCGACAAGTTTCAGTTTTTTGTGCAATTCCTCGCTGGGTAATTCATGGTCGTTGTATGGGGGCGCTTTGACATGGTCTCCGGGCTCTTCAATTAAAATTTTCCACAAGAGGGACTCTATATAATAATTAGTTCCACCAACGATGATGGGTAATTTATTTCGCTTTATTAAATTATCAATCTGAATAAAATTTAAGGAATTTTTGGGGGGCAAAAAACAGGCAGTGATGCCAGATTAGGGAATTTTTCCCTAGTTCTAGGGATTTTTTTGACAAAAAGGGATTTTTTTCAATATTTTTCAAAATTCTAGGGATTTTTGTAATTTGCAATAAAAACCCAAAAATTTGACAGTCTTTTTTACATTAAGCAATGACTTTGTAAAATATTTGCGCAGCTTTGATTTTTAAATACTTAAAAAGAATTCTGTCTAAAAAAAGTAATCTAATTTGTTATAATATAATAACTATGTATTAAGTACCCAAATTATTTTTTATAATAAGTATAATTAATTTTTTTAATTTAAAACTAATGCAATCACAGAATTTGTATAAACAAAAATTAATTACCTATAACTTGCGTTATAACAACAGAATTTGTTTTAATATATTTTTATATTGTTTATATTGCTTTTAATAGAATTTAGAGATACAAATTTATTGATTTTTTGTTATTTTTTACACACAAAAGTCATGAAATTAGTTCTAAAATAAAACAATTTTTGCCTTTTTCGCTCATTTCAGCATGTTTTTCAACAAAAAATTAAATAATTTTGACAAAAACAAGCTGAAAAGTCACCAAATTAAGTCAAAATAACACATATTTGCCTTTTTTTTCAGAATGTTTCGTAAAAAATCATGAAATTAAGTCAAAAATTTTTTTTTCGCTCATTTCAGCAAACAATGCAATTATCACCAAATTAAGTCAAAATAACATATATTTGCCTGTGTTTGTGGAATTTTCAAACGTTGTCAGAAACGACAATTTTTTCAGAATGCTTCATAAAAAATAAAAAAATCTCAAAAATGAGACACTTTTTTGCCTTTTTAGAAAGTTTTCAAACGTTTTTCACAGTAAAAACACAATGATTTCGAAAAATTTCGTTAAAAGCTATACATAAATTATTCTTTTGATGTTTTTTTGTCATTTTTAAGAGTTTAAGCGCGTTTAGGAACACGAAACTCAATTTTTTTCTGAAATTTTGCTAAATAGACACAAAAATCCTAAAATTAGATCGAAAATGAGACAATTCTTGCTTTTTTCGGTTATTTCAGCATGTTTTTCAGTAAAAAAATGCAATTATTTTGCCCAAAAACAAGCTGAAAAACGTTTTTCAGTCAGAAACGACATTTTTTCAGAATGTTTCATATACAAAAAAACGTTTCATAATTCAAAAATCATAGTCAAAAAAAATTAAACATTTTTTCGCCTTTCTCGGATGTTTTAACACGTTTTAAAGTAGAAACGCAATTATCTAACAAAATTTTGTCAAAACTAACACAAAAAAATATCAATTTGATGTTACTTATTCATTTTTTGAACGTTTCAGAACGTTTTTAAGTCAAAAATACAATTATTTCGCAAATTTCATCAAAAATAAGTTAAAAAATTACTAAATTAAGAGGAAACACTGTTGTTTTTTAACTTTTTGAATGTTTAAGTACGTTGCTGAAGGAAAAACTCAATTTTACGTTTATTTGTTTGAATAAAATTCATTTATAAAAAAAGTAAAGTAGATTTCATTTAAATTGGCATAATAGGTGGCTATGGAATTTCGTATTTAAGTTTGTAGCCTTGCACATGTTCCTGTTATAACAGCTGATGGGGTTTTTGTTTTTCTTTGATTACTTACCTACATTGTTTATTGAACTGACATGACTGACATTTGTATTCGTTTTTTCAGTGTTTTCGTTGTTTGTTCGTTATTCCCACTACTTTTTCAAATTTTAATTAAAACTAGTTCTCTTCAGATTTAAAGTACTCGCTAAGCTATGTTTGAAAACATAATGAACTTCTTTTTGTTATTCCTGTTTTAGGAATTTTAGGTTAATGGAATCAACTATACCAATTTGAATTAAGCCAAATTACTTTATCCTGGGCAAAACACGATTTTTCAGGCTGCAGTACGCGAAGCTCCATTTTGTACAGATTTCTTTTTTCCCCTCCGATCGCAACAACTTTACCATTGTTTAAAAATTTTGTCCTACATTTTTAATGACAAAATCCAAACCCCTTTCGGATGCAACTTACACGGAAAACAAATTGTGTTTTATCTCCGGTGTGAATAAAACGTCTTTTAAAATTTCTGGAAGCCACTTATTATCAACGAAGTCTGTATTTTCTACAAAGCAAATAGTGTATGTTTTTAGTGTTAAAACTACACCTACAAAGGGATGAAACAGGATGTTAAACTTGTTATCGAAAAAACTCTCTGAAAACTTCTGAAAAAGGGTTCTTTAAAAATAAAATTTTAACTATCTTAACCTCACTTTTTATAGTGACAAATTTAGTTCCTTAATATGTAAAGCCTTTTTCACATTTAAAGCGCGGTTTACACAATCATGGCCTACTGTTATGCCAATTTCAATGAAATGGATTATAGTTTTTTTTCTTTAGCTTAGGGAATTCTAGGGAATTCAATCAAGCGCTTGACCCCATCTGGCATCACTGAAAACAGGGCATTCTTAGTTTTATGGGCTGATTCATTTAATCAATTTTCAAATGCTTCATGAATAAAACACAGGAAATAGACGCAACAGCTGAAATCGTAAGTAGGACCCCAAGTTTATTTTATAGTAATTTTATCTACAAGGTCACTAATTTCAGTTTCAGCCTTGATTGTAATAGAGTCCACGTGCCCACGTGGAAATGGAAGTGACGAAATAACTAAGCGTGTTAAAATTTCCTAAATACGAAGGATACAATTTTCAAAGCGCTATTTCGGTACTCCACTACGGTGAAACTCTCATGGGGCTCCAGAATATCAATAAGATGGTGTAGGGCCACACTTTGTTCTTCTTTCGTAGCTTTCGCTGTTATAATATCGAGACCTTTGTACACCTACATGATTTTTTTTCGATTAATTAACAAGACGTTGAACTTGAACTGTGTAAACATTTTCAGACATTCAATAAAGTCATAATTTAAGCGATGATTTATTGGTTTGACCTTTGTTCGGAACTTCTTGGGTACAGGTGTTAATTTTGTGTCAGGATAATCACTCTAACTCAGTTTTAAAACAATTTGGTGGCCTTGAACGTGACACAATGACCGAGCAAGGCCATCGGCTTTGTTTACATACAGTTTACGCCAATTTAACAATCGTCATGCTTAATACAAACGAAATATTCTTAAAAAAAAAACTCCAGAAATTTGAAAAAATAAGCGACCTTGACATGTTATGCAACACATTATACACATGACGTGACTTGGTTGTCTAACAACAACCAAATTATTAATTATTTTTTTATTAGTCTTAATTGGTAATTAATTAATAATCTGCATTTAAAATGAATTAAATTAAAACAATAAGTGATTTTTGACATACTTATGCAACACATTATACACGTGATGTAACTTGGTTGCCTACCACGTAGAATTATTTTTTAGTTAATTTTTGTTAAAACATGCAATTAAAATAATTAAATGACTAGTGACTTAAATACCTGCATTGAGTCTGCACTTATTATCTCTCCTTTGAATTTCCGGGCTAATTCGAGGGACAACTTAGTTTTTCCCGAACCAGTAGCCCCCAAAATAACAACTAATGGTAACCTGAGAGCCATTTTCAGTTCTCAATCAATTTTTTACGGTTAATTTCAGCCTGAAATTGAATTGTTTCGATTAATTAACTTTTTTGTAACACGTGTTTTTTTACTAGTTTATGAATAATTCTCACTTGATACTATTTCAACTAATAATAAATTATGACATAAATACCTGATATTAAAATTAATAAATTTTATTTTTTTTCGAGTTTTAACCCTCGTGTTTTCACTTTTTGTCTAAACTAACCTCAAAACAAACTGTCAGCTGATTGTACACTACACGTCGCTTTAATGACGTCTAAATTTTCATTCCAATTAATTAATATAATAAAACATAGAATTCCAAATTAATAATAATTGTGTTGTATCGAGTTCAAATAAGGTATTTCAAGTGTAGTTGATTTTTTAATGGGAAAGTTAAGTGAAATTGTGTTATTGCTAGTACATTTATTCTGCCCTACACTGTACAAACGTCAAACGTCACTAAATGTGAGGTTAAGTGACAGGTTTTGTTGTTGAAAGTTCCGCTTATTTTTTTGGAAAAATGCCGGATTTTCTGGCCGAAAACAACACCTGTGGCCAGACAATCCTCCAGCTGGTTTCCCGCGGCAATGCCATCATTGCCGAACTTCTCCGTTTGAAGGACTACATCCCCCAAACTTACAGGTTTGTAAAAACCCCAAAATTGTTATTTTTTGCATAATTTAAAGTCTTCTAGAATGGGAACAAAGGAGGAGATCCAAAAGTACGGCGAGATAATCATGGATTTTAGTTATTTCAAGATCGAGGAGGCGCAAAATTACAAAATTGAAACTTCAGAGGTGAGACATTTGTGGTCAGTGAAACTAAATAAATGTGTAGCAATTGCAAGATTTGGACGAAGAGTTTCGTGACAATCACATCGAGATGATCAATCGGTTTTATCTCACATTTGAGAGCATCCACACTTATATCACCGATTTGAACCACTTTCTCGACGAATTGGAGGAGGGGTTGTACATCCATCAGAGTCTCGAGACGATTTTCGCCGACATGGAGGGAAAACAACTCCTTGTAAGTGTTTTTTCGAATTTCAATTTTTAATGTACAGTTTCCTGTAATATCGATTCTCGGTCGGTATTACAGGAAACTATTAATTACAACACTTGAAAATTGTTTAATTCCAGTGTGAAGCTTTATTTCTCTACGGTTTGATGCTACTAATCATTGATACGTACATTGAGGGCCCCATTCGTGAGAGACTCCTAGTGTCTTACTGTCGCTACACCCCACAAAGGAGCGACACTCAGAGCCAAATCGACGATGTTTGTCGCTTATTACGCGACACGGGGCTCAACACCCCCAAAAAACCCAATAATTACCCTGAGGATTATTTCCGGTAATTACCCGTTTTAGGGATTTTTCATTTTTTTGACAACTGTTAAAAAAGTGGCGCACTTTTAAAAAATTTACTACCTCTCAAGTCCAAATTCGTGGATATTGTGATTGGTCATTTGCGCTTCGATGACATTTACGGGCAATTGTCGGTGTACCCCCTTCCGAAGCACCGGAGCACCGCCCTCGCCCATCAAGCCTCAATGCTCTACGTTTGTCTTTTTTTCTCACCCAATAMTTTGCACTCTCAAACGGCCATAATGCGRGAGATTGTTGATAAATATTTCCCTGATAATTGGGTCATTTCCATTTACATGGGTTTCATTGTGAATTTAGGTGAGAGTTGGGAGTGTTTCAAGGCGGCTAAAATGGCCCTTAATAACACCCTTGAAACTGTCAATATCAAATCCTACGCTAATTCGTACGGTAGTAGCATTTCGCCCCTCCTCAAAGCCACCAATTTGAAACTAAAAGAAGGCAACATCACCAGTGATAACCTCCTCAAAGACGTCAACAACATAATCAACCTTTTGAGGGATTGTAACTTTACAATTCGGTGGTTGATGTTACACACAATCATCAAACCGGACAAAACCAAAAAATTGAAACAATTGAGAGAATTGGTTATAACCGAATCGCGGTTAGAGTCAGTCCAACTGTTCAAATTGCTCCTCAATACGTCACAATTAGAGTTAACCACGCGTGAAATTTACAAGAAATTGTTGCATGAAAAAGACACTCAATGGTCAGAGCTGAAAACTGAAAGTTTCAAGAGTTTAATTGYGTTGAGTGAGGTTTTCAGTGGGACYAAACCGTTGACTCGAATACCGAAAAATTCAAATTTGCAAAATTGGTTTTTAGAAATTTCCAAYCAAGTCGATTCTTTGAGTTCTGGTGATGTGGCCTCGTCGCGAAAAATCGTCCAATTGATTCAGGCTTTAGAGGAGGTGCAAGAGTTTCACCAACTCGAGTCAAACATGCAAGTGGTGCAATTCCTCTCCGAAACTCGGAAATTCTTGCATCAAATGATCCGAAATATGAATATAAAAGAGGATGTCTTGATTACGTTGCAAATAATCGGTGATTTGAGCTACGCCTGGGAATTGATCGATTCTTTCACACCAATCATTCAATTCGGGATTAAAAAAGAGCCAACTTTGGTGATCAAACTCCGGGCGATTTTTCTCAAACTGTCTTCAGCGCTTGAAGTCCCCCTTTTGCGCATAAATCAAGCCCACAGTGAGGATCTCATCTCAGTCTCGCAATATTACAGTAGCGAACTCGAGATTTATGTAAGAAAAGTCTTGCAAATAATCCCGAAAATGATGTTTGAGAAAATGGCTCGTGTTATTGAGATACAGACTTGCATTTTGAAAGAATTACCAACGAGACTTGATAGGATAAATTGAAGGATTTTGCACAATTAAATGAACGTTTCGAGTTTGCTGAATTGACCAATTTAATTTCGGTGTTTAGTCAAGGTATGAGAAGATGAAAAGTACATTAGTTGGAGTGATTTGTCTCGATCCCAAAAAACTACTTGAAGATGGGATTCGGAAGGAGTTGGTGTTGTACATCTCGAAGGCGTTGCATACTGGACTGATTTTCGGGCAAAAGGCTAAAGTGGAGGAGTTGGAGGGTAAGCTGGAGGCTGTGGGGGTCATCATGTACGAGTACAAGCGCTCCTTTGAGTATATACAGGTAGGGGCCCTTTTGCATGCGTATAACTGGTTGCCTAATAATAATAATATGAAAGGTCGTCTGCGCATGCGCGTTTAACACTTGTATAACTGGTTGCCTAATAATAGCATCAAATTTATTGTAAATTTTTATAAAAAATTATTTCAATCGTCTGAACTAGGCTGATTACGCGGTTAATACAATTTAAGCGTATTAATTGAAGATGTGAATGGATAATATTTGGAGTTATAAGCATTTTAATATAATTTGCTGGTACTTTTTTTCAATTTGTTTTTGGTAAAAAAATCACATGATTTTTTTATAGATTTTTCAACGATCAAATGTACATGACCCCTTCATCCACTATAATGCATTAGTTTATATTATTAAAAAATTGATTAAAGTGTTATCTACCAAAAAACAAGCTTTATTTTCTAATATAAACTTTGTGATAACTATTGCTTTATTAAAATATTTCAAGTTTAACAAAACATTTATAAATGAAATTCTAACGACACAATATAAAAAAATCCACTTTATGCTGTCCCGAAAATTAACATTCTTATTTAAGAGATTTTTTTCTTGTTTYCTGGGTGTAATTTTGAAATTATGTCACACGATAGATCAGTCTTTTTTACCAACTTGTCAAGTTTTACTGTTTTATTATTAATAAGAAAAGCTATAGAAAAAAATTAGAAAAAGCGTGCATTTTTTGAGTTTTTTAAAGAAAATTTAATAGTTTGGCAACGTTGCAATTAAATTCTAAAAACAGTACATTTTCTTGCAACATAAATAAAAAAATCATTTTTGACTATTAGATTATTGAAATAAAAAGAAACAATATGATTTTTTTTTCATTTTTGATGAAAATAAACTGAAAATTTTTTGTAATGTGTCAAAAATTTTAAGAAATAAGTATGGGAAATTGATGTTTTTTCTTCATTGTCGTCAGAAAAACAGGGTTTTTCCGTTTGAAAAAAACTGAGTTATAGCAGTTTTCACCAAATCACCAATTTGGTTGAAAATGACCTTTTTATGATTTTTTGGCCGTATTAGCATGTTTTTTAATTAAAAATTTACAAAATCCTGTCACAAATCGCTAAATTTACTCAAAAATTGTGTTATTTTTATTGATTGTGCTAAAAACTTTGTTCAAAAATAATACTATTTTTCCGTTTTAGGACGTTTTTTGTCAGAATCGCAATTGTTTTGAAAATTTTCGTCGAAAATGAGATAAAAAGTGAATAAACTATCACGAAACTAAAATTATTTTTGCTTCTTTGGAGAATTTAATCATGTTTTTGAGACGAAAAATCATCTGGTTGCTTTTCCAAACGTTTTAGCAGATTTTTGGCAAAAATAAGCAAGAAAATCACATAATTAATTCGAAAATGATGTTATTTTTACTTTTTTCAAACATTCAGTTAGTTGCGTTTTTAAGTCTAAAACTAAGTTGTTTCTTTAATTTTTGCTGAAAAACATACCAAAAAATTAATACATATACCAGACTAAATAAAGCGTTTTAAAACATTTTTCAATAAAAAACGCAATTATTTCGCAAAATTTTGTCAAGAATACGCCGAAAAGTAATTGAATTAAGTAAAAATTGTGTTATTTGTGCTTTTTTTAAACATTTATTTACACTTAAGTCTTTTTCAGTAAAAGGAAATTGCGAAAAAAATTGTTTAAAAAAAATATCAGTTTTCAAAAAAAAATGTTACATAACACCTTTATCCACTCACCCCTTCAATTGTTATCGTAACACTTTCTCCTTTAAAAAATGGACTACAGTTTGTATATGTATAACTGGTTGCCTAATAGATGACACTTTGCACGTATAACTGGTTGCCTAATAATAGCACTTTTGCCACTGAACTCATATATACGAGTTCAGTGTGTGAGCACATGTATTCTAACCTCACTTACGTGAAATATTTTTTCGAGTAATTTTTTACTGAAAAAATATCAAAATGGGAAAGGTGAGTTTTGTTAAATGATGTTAAAAGCGTCAAGAATGTGTTTACAGTTTCAAAGATATTATAATAAAACAGAAGACGAATCTACAGAAGCATCCAAAACAGAAACTGTTGTTTACAATGTAGATCCTAAACCGAGGCCTTGGGGGCGTAGACAAGCTGATAAACGAATAAAAAAGAATAAAACGAACAAGATAGTTGTAAAAATTCCAAACCCTAACCCCAAGTTCAAGGGAAAAGTGCCAATCCCTAAGGAACTTTTAAAAAAGCATGGTAGAGGTGAAGGTATAAATCCAAAAGGAGTTAGAACAAATACACATCAGAAAAGGATTGAAAAGAAGGAAAAAATTATACAATTTGCAACAAAGCAAGCAGCGAGAGCTGAAGTCCTATTAACTGAAGATGAAGGGCAAGTATAAGTAAATAGTTACAGTTTGGTCTGAATTATTTTTTAGATTTCTTGAAGCGGACGCTGGCGAGACTACAACGCAATTTACGCAAAAACAAATAGCTGAAAGTGTGGATATAACAGCAGCTACCAAAAGTTTTGAATTAAAATTGAATGATTTTGGGCCTTATAGATTGAAATATACTAAAAATGGACGTCATTTGTTAATTGGGGGTAAAAGGGGACATGTGGCCGCATTTGATTGGGTAACAAAAAAATTACATTGCGAAATGAACGTTATGGAATCAGTTCATGATATTTGCTGGTTACATATTGAAACAATGTTTGCTGTAGCTCAAAAAGAGTGGGTTTATATCTATGATAATCAAGGGATTGAATTGCATTGTGTAAAAAGGTTAAATAGAATCACTAGGATGGAGTTTTTACCTTATCATTTCTTGTTGGCTTCTTGTGTAAGGATTTTCCAATATAAACTTTTTATAATTATTAATTCAGGTATTTTAGAGTGACATGGGTAGTTTGAGTTGGTTGGATATTTCAATAGGTCAGTTGGTGTCTCAGTTTAATACAAATTTAGGAAGACTGACAATGTTGAGTCAAAACCCCTGGAATGCTGTTTTATGTGTAGGACATTCTAAAGGTGTGGTATCTATGTGGTCCCCAAACTCTAAAAGTCCTTTAGCTAAAATGCTATGTCACAAAGCACCACTAACTGCTCTCCATGTGGATTCCAAAGGACAGTAAGTTTCACAATTTTAATCAGAATCAACATTGTTTCTATGTAAAACAGGTTCCTTGCAACTGCTGCAAGTAATAGAGAGCTCAAAATCTGGGACGTCAGAAAACTCTCAGGACCTTTACAACAATACAAATTAATCACCGCCGCCAACAATTTAAATTTTTCGCAAAAAAATATGTTGGCTTTAGGGATGGGAAATGTGGTTGAGGTTTACAGGGATTGTTGCATGAATACGGCAAAACGGCCGTATTTGCGCCACCGCTTTGTCACATCTGTCGGCAACTTAAATTTTTGTCCCTATGAAGACGTTTTGGGAGTGGCCACAGCCACTGGTGTTGCAAGTTTAATAGTCCCTGGCTCAGGTGAACCCAACTTTGATGCTTTGGAAGCTAATCCGTTCCAGAGTAAATCCCAGAGGCGGGAAGCGGAAGTTAAATCACTCCTAGAAAAAGTATAGATCTTATTTATAAAAATGAAAATGTAACGCATTTTTGTAGATTCAACCTGAACTTATAACTCTGGACCCGACTTCAATAGTTGAAGTGGACCTGCCAACACTTAAGGATAAAATAGAAGCCAAACAAAAATTACTTGTACGTATATTTATTTGAGTCTATTAGTGTTAATAATTTTATTTTTTAGCATGTTAAGCCACCGAAAATTAATTTCACTCCCAGAAATAAAGCGAAAGGAAAAGGCGGGTCTGTGAAAGTCGCCAAAAATAAGAAAATCGTCCGTGAACAAGCTAAAAAAGAATTTATAAAAAATACAAAGGGTTTGGCGCCGGAATTTGGCTCTGAGAAGAATGAAAAGGAACATGGAGTATTAGCTAGGTTTTTGCCTAAAAAATCCAAGACGTAATTACAAATTTAATCAATGAATTTATTTTGTAATAAGTGGTATAATTTCATCAAGTAACTTATCCCGATTTCCTGCGTTTACCTACAAATAACAGTATGATTAAAAAAAATTAACAGGGAAAAATACTCTTACGGTAATTAAATGACTTGAATTATTGTTCTTAATTTTTTGAATCAGTGGCAGGGTTGCTTTTAAAGGGACTGTTGCAACAATTCTAATATTGTCGTCAGTGATCACTCTCTCAATGTTTGCTTGAAATTTTTTACTAAACAATTCCATTTTTCCAATTTCATCTATGATAATAATCGATTTGACCTAAAAATTGTCTTTCAGATACACCAAATCACAAACATAGTTTTCACTTAACATTTTCAAATATCGGTAAAACCATTTTTTCAAATTCTTCAATGTGAACAGAGTAATTTCCCACTTTATACTTAGAATTGTCTTCTGCATTACTGGAAAAAAAATTGAAACACCATTCTTACTGATTGCACAATACCTTTTTCTAGCTAAGATTCCTCGTTTATTGTCAAGCGTTACAACATCAAAACCAATTCTATAATTGTTTTCTCTTAATTCCTCTGTATAAAAACCTGTTATATCAATTGCCATTTCTTTTAATTTGTTGGCAATTTTTTTCGTGAGAGTGGTTTTACCAATACCTAGAACTTCCTGACGATATTTGGCAAATAAAACGAATTATTACCTGGTAATCCTTGCAAAATTATATTTTTCATTTTGAATATTTTTGAGGTTATAAAAATCTGTAGATTGTGTCAAACTATGAATAAAAATAGTTTATTGTTGAATAGAGATCGTTTTTTACAGATAAATTAATAAATAAAACAAAATATATACAAGATGTTAATCATCAGTCTGTAAGAGACTAACCTATTGTAATAAATTAAATTCTTTTTTTGTACTTCGGGGAATAGTGGTGGCCACATGTTTCTTGTTCGTTATTTTATTTTTAGTGGTCGTACGGTAAAAATACTCGTGAAATAATTTTATACTCTTTTTATCAAGTTCATATTGTGGAAAATGCAATTCAAGTATGATCCTTTTCCGGAAATGTTGTTTGAGACTATACCACGACCTAAGTAGTATAAGGGCCCCTTCAGCACACAGCTACATTTTAAGGAAAAACACCCCGAATTTCAAGGGTAAACTGAAAAGCAGAAAAATCGTGAAAACACTACGATTTTAAAGGCATATTTTAAAAATTAACATTTTAAGGAAAAACACCCTGATTTTCAAGGGTAAACAGAAAAAGCAGAAAAAATCGTAAAAAAAATGGTTCAAAATATGAGGGCAGTTTTAGCACACACCTACTTTTTAAGGAAAAACACCCTGATTTTCAAGGGTAAACAGAAAACGCAGAAAAAATAGTAAAAAGTGACTCAAAATATGAGGGCAGTTTCAGCAACCTTTACTTTTTTAAGCAAATCACCCCGATTTTCAAGGCTAAAACAAACTGCTCATAATATGAGGGCCATTTTAGGACACAGCTACTTTTTAAGGAAAAACACCCCGATTTTCAAGGTAAACAGAAAAGCACAAAAAATCGTGAAAACAACCCGATTTTAAAGTTAACATTTTTTCAAAGATTTAGTAGTTAGAAGGCCCCCATGAACACAGCTACTTTTTAAGGAAAACACCCCGAATTTCAAGGGTAAACTGAAAAGCAGAAAAAATCGTGAGAACACCCAGATTTTCAAGGGTGAACAGAAAAGCAAAAAAAAATCGTGAAAACACCGTCGTTTTTAAGGTATATTTTAAAATTAACATTTTTCAAAGATTTTGCCCTGTTTTACAAGGTTAACGACTTTAAAAGAAAAACGGTATTTATTATTAATTTAGGATTATGGAAAATTAATTATTTATGATCCCATTACAAGAGTAAAAACATCTCCATGTTTATAAATTCCTTCAATTGATAAGGTTTCCCATTCATACGCATAAATACCGTATGGACCATTAGTCTCAGGTCGAAGATATGGGCTATCAAAAGGTTTTACTTTGGTGCATTTTTCATGTTCCTCTTTATATATTCTCACATATCCTTTACGAATAAAGTAGAACAGATCTAAAAATGTTATGGGTTCATTAAAATTATTTTTAAACTTAAAAGTAACTTCATTTTTCATTGGATAATTAAATTTAATCTCTATTTCATCATTGTGACTAACTTTACAATTCAATATTTCCTCATATTTGTCCAAATATCTAAGACAGCCTAAAGTAATGAATCCTGAAAATATTTGTTGACGATCTTTGCTGGAAATAAGTTCGTCTAAATCCTTTTCTAATTCTTGTATAAATTCTCGTGATAATTTTTGATAGCATAGTACAATTAATAAATTAAGTTTGTTTTTAAATTCCTTGATAAATTCTTTAGATAGTTTTTGATATCTCGATATATCATCGCAATCGAGTACATTTTGAAACTCTCTAATAAATTCCTCAGATAGTTTTTGATATCTCGATATACCATTCCAAATGAGTACATTATGAAGCTCCCTAATAAATTCCTCAGATAATTTTTGATGTGATGATATACAGTCCCAAACAACTTTTGATCTAAATTCTCTAATAAAATCTTCAGATAATTTTTTATTAGCAGAAACGTAAAACCAATCATCAATTTCATCACTGTTCTTTCTTATATCATCTTCTGTCATTGATTCAAGTTTTTTCCATTCTTTTTCTACAACACTTAAATAAGAGTTATCATCTGAGTCGCTTAAGTCAGAGTTTTCGTGATTACAGTTAATTATATCCATAATTTATTAGAAAACAATTATATGAAAATGATCACAGACGATTAATTAGTTTTATTATTTGATCGATAAGACCACATTTAAATCCAAAAACTGTCAAGTCAAATTTATCAGATTTAACTAATGTATTCGAAATATCATTAAATTCATAAAACATTTCATCTTTAAAGAAATATAAATTTCTATATCTGAATGCTCTGCTTATATTTGGAGGTATTCCAGCAAATAATTCTGAAATAAGGCCGTTTTTCTTTGATCTAAACAAACACTCATCAAACTCAATATACAAAACTTTATCATAAAATATATATGTTTTTCCAGAATAAGTTCTAAATATCGCATCAATTCTTTTTCCTTTTGGTATTCCTAAATTTTCAATAGATTGACCATTGTATCCACTTTTAACATTAAAACTTGGAAAATCAATTAAATAATATAAATTTTTAACAACTATTATAACATCACTTGAAGGTCTTTGATAAATATGCAAAACTTCTTTAAAATCATCAGGCAAAAAATATAAATAATCTTTAATTAATTTCGGTTCTTTATCATAAGTCATATCTTTTAAATTGACTAACCAAACATATTTCTTATAAAAAATATACATATGATGATTTGCAATTAAAAATGTGTCAATTTCTTTATTAAAATCACATAAATTCACCATAGGCTCATGAGTCGAAGACGAATTACCAACAGTATCTTTTACTCCGACTTCATGGACGCTTTGCCAGACTTTGTTTACAGTAGGTTTAACTGTTGTTGTTGTTGTTGGTATTAATTCATATTTTAATCGTTCAGGTCGTCCATATAAATATTGAATTGCCCACATATCGTCTTGAGTTAATTTATCAATATCACCTTTATAATAGGCGTACATAATTGAATTATTATTTGCAGAATGTTCAATACATAACGTGTGTCCGATTTCGTGTAATAAAACAGTATAAAAATTAGTTTGATCATCAGGTGTATTGCTTGATTCACCAAAATACCAATTTTCTGATTTATCAAAATAAATTCCTAAACATTCATTATTATTTGGAAAGAAGCCATGTGCTAAAACATTACCTTTTCCGTCAAAACTGCTAGAACATATTCCTCTTTGACACCGTGAATTATGATTATGTTGAAACAGCGTATTAGAAAATGAAATAAGTATGTCCGGTTTAACACTATTGTAATTAAACTTTAAATTTGAAACAGATTCCCATTGATCAAAGGCTTTTTGTGCTAATTCTRTCATCTCGTTTGTAGCTAYCGAAAAATACCATTTAAGATTTGTTTTATTCCATTTTTGATAATGAACTCTATAAGCTGRTGGATTATCTTTAACGCCACATCTAGGTTTACTGATAAATGCAAGTGTTTCTTGATTTAATGTTCCATCAGTTGGTAAATTATAGAATTCTTGAAACCTTATTAATGCTTCATTGGTATGCGAAACACTAGTCAAAGACGTTTCATGGACAACGCGATTTAAATATCAAATTGAACTAAATGGGAAGATCTTCAGAAATAATTATATTACAAAAACAATCTTCACAATCACTAGAGTTGAAGATCATATGATTTCTTTGCAGAAACACTATTTGTTTTTATCAAGAAAATATGAAACAGCGTCATATAACTCATACAACTTATTAATTTTTGTAGTCTGAAAATAAGTCAACAACGGATAAATATAACTTCAAGTTTCCCTCTAAAATAAAAAATAATCCATTAGTTGGACCAACATCATCTGATTTACTTATAGCAATAATATCATACCTCTTATCAGTCTTTAAATCAAATAATTTAATTTCTTTTGGTTCTGTCATCGTCCTCGACTCTGGGCTGGCATTGCCAGTCATTTATTACAATAAGAAATTATCAATTCCCGTTTAAGTGGACTTTTTCTAGGTATTTCTCCCTGGGAAAATAATTAAAATTACTGACAAATTCCTCTTCACGTAAATTTATTTCTTTTTCATTTATTTTATCAGCCTTATATAAATGCAATAACTGTCTATAAAATTTATAAATCAACTTATATTCTTCAATTCTTTCTGATATTTTTAATCTCTTATCTAAGATTTCTATTACCCCAGCGCCAAGAGATAAACAAACTAGTGGAGGTAGGGCTAACGAAGATAATCCCGACGCACTAAATAATAATTTACTAATAGATAATCCAATTTTATAAAAATATAAGTAACTTTTTCTGTATACATACAAGCGTTTTTGAAGATATTTTTCCATTTATAACATATAGATAATATATAATTTTTTAATTACGTTCAAATATTGAAATAGTAGTTTTCTCATTTAAACGACACGATATCTGTTTAAAAGAATATAATATATCATAAAAATCTTTGCCTCTGTTGACATTAATTATCATATATAAAGAGTAATGACCACATAAAACACAAGAACTCATTTGTAACTGCGTGCTATTCCACGCTATATTTTTTCCGCTACTTAATAAATATTTTTTAATTTTTTCTGGTGGAGATATTCCAAAACTGTCAAAATATAAAATATTTCTTAAATATGGTTTGTTTATGTAACATACCCAGTGTGAGCCATAACAATTAGAGGGTTGAAAATTAATTATACCTGATTCATCTTTTCTAATTTTTTTTGGTAACATGTCAATTGCAAAAACACCTCGAAAATTTCGCTTAGCTTCATGAGGCAAACCCGAATTTTTCATAATATATAATATTTCTATATTACTTAAACCCGATTTCCTATCAATTTTATTCCTTGTCCATATGTCTTCGTCTTTTTTGTGTTTTTTTTATCCTTTTTTATACCATCTCCAAAGGTTTTCTGTGCTAATTTAGTACCAGCATAACCAGCAGCACCTAATCCCAATGCTTTGGCCACAGCTAATGCCGCAGGAATTAAAGCAGGTAAAAATCCACCTATCTGTGTTGGAGAAAATTTGATATCACAATATTTTTTCTTCTCTTTTTTACACTTTTTAATTTCATCAATCTGATTTTCTCTTAATTTAATAGTATTGTTAGGTCTTTCTGTTAAATCGAATCTTATATTACAATCTATTCTTTTTTCTTTACAACTTTGGAGTTTCTTTATTTGATTGGGTGATAAATATACTTTATAATCATTCATTTATTTAATTAAAAACTCGGTAAATCCTCGTCTACTTCAT